CTGTCATGTTGCGAGCAGGAATCATTTCTAGCTGCTTATTCATGTCCAACAACCTCTTTTAATCATAGAAATGCCAAAACTTAGTCATGAGATCAAGAGAGAAGAACCCTGATTAAAAAAGCTAAAAATAAAGGAAACATATATGTAATGTAATATGTATTAGAGAATCAAAGTGGTGTAACATGCTGCAGCCACAAATCTCCCATTAGTAACATTATCCCCAGAATGTGTTTGTTTTGGACCAATTGGATTGTTCCAAAATGCTCAGAAAGAAGCCATGAATATATGTTAATACTACTAAAAAAGCACTAGCGGCCAAAATAAAATGCAAGTCAATTAGATGATTCAACATATAACAGTAAAATGTTACTTGTCAATATATGCTGATAAGGTTTTTTAAAAGGATTTATTTCTTTTACAATCAAAAAGTAAAAAAACCAAATTGTATTGTTTACATAAAAAGGTATTTTAAAAACTGAAATAGTAATTAGGTTTGATGAATTGGTGCGTTATTTTTTTAAATAATAAAATAAAACTAAAACAAAACAATTTACTTATGTCTTTAATATCTTACAATTTAGTAATTTATAACATCACATAAAATATTTGAGAATTGGTTACGATCATTATGTTTTTATTTTGTTTTTGTTTGTTTATTTGTTTTTTTTTATTTAACTTTTTAATTATCTTTAGATTATTAATGTAAATGTCAGCTATGAAATTATATTTCATAATTAATTTTTTACATGACAATTATAATTCTTCAATACTTTTGAGTTAATCTCTGAATTTATTTATGTAAACTTTTTTTTAACATATTATTTTTTTAATAAAATAAACAATTTCCTACATTTTATGATGTGTTTGTCTACTTAATTAATTTATGAATTAAATGTCTAACTAATAAAATACTTTTAATGAGGATTGTTATATCCTTCAAAACAAATTCCGAAACAGCCTCCAAAAGATTAAAATATTAACATCTCTCAATAAATTTATTATAAAATAATTATTTAATTTAATATTTTATTATTTAAATTAATTTTTTAATAATTCAGAACAACTTTCGGAACATTCATTCGGACGATCCAACATTTTTCATTTTTAACTTATTTCTAAAGAGTGCATTAATCATGACTTTGTTTATAATTTTAGAAGGAAAAAAACTAATTTTTTTTTCTTAAAACACTAGTTTAAAACTCGTTCAGATTTTAAAATTAGTCCAGTTCTTAAAATTAGTTCAAAAATTATTTGATTTTGAAATCGATTCTAAATTATTTGTTTATATAAGTGATTTAGTTCTGAAATAGTTTATTACTGTGGTTTAAATGGTTTATAAGTTAGTTTAGTTCAATAAAATGGTGCAGTATTGTTTGGTGTAGTTTTTCTAAAAAGCTGAATCATGCACACTCCTAAGTTTCTTTAAGATTAAATATGTTTTAAATTTTTGATTTTTTTTAGTCCATAAACAAATTCCGTTTAGTTTTAGTCCTTGAATTTTTTTTCATGAACAAAAAAATTTGGAGTCGAGTGTCAAAATGTCAATGGGTAAAAAAGTTCAAAAGACTAAAAATAAAAATCGATAAATGTTTAAAAACTAAAATTAGTAAAAAAGATTTGTTTTAGATCTAAAAACAAAATTTGACAAAAAGTTTATAGACCAAAAACATATATAATCTTTTTCTTTAAAATTACCATTATGTTACTTTGACTAAGGTCACCTTCCTTGCTAATAATTGGCTGCATATTAGAAGTTCCATGATAGTTTAGAGTATGCTTGCATAATAGTATGAGTTTGTTTGGATACAAACTAAAAACATTTTTTTAGAACTTTTCCATTGAAAATAAAAAATATTTTTTAATAGAAAAATTAAAAAAAAAACTTCTAAATTTGTATCTAAAAAAAACTCTATATCTGTGAATTGTAGCATATAGCTTGTATTTAAGCACATAGCAGGACCAAAACAAATTATCAAAACTCATGTTGATACTTTGAATGTTGTAAACAACTCAATTTTGTTAGAATACAAACAAATCCTATATTGATTAAAAAATAATAATAACTTATAAAATACACTCATACTCCAATGTCAGAGAGGTTTTTTGGATGATGACTAAAAGTAAAACCATGAAAGTTGAGACTCAAAATAGATAATATCTCATCATTGTGGAGTTGTGTGTGAAATAACCTTATAAAAATAATCCTATCAGTAATATCAAAACAGTAGAGACTTTTTGAGTAATGACCAAAAGTAAAATTGTGAGGACTTAGGTCCAAAACGAACAATATCTTATCATTGTGAAGTATACTTGTGTAATAACCTTATAAAAATAATCCTCATAAAATCAAATTCTTATTACATGTAACAATTCACTTTAATCCAAATCAAAATCTTCATCCTATTCCACAGGGATGAAATACAAAGGATAATGTAAAGCACAACCCAACTCCGTTTATTATTGAAATATTTACTCACAGCAATTCCATTTGTTGAACAAAATTGTGATATGCCGAGGCGTGTATTGGGCTGACCCCAAACCCTTTTAACTCCCGCCGCCACTTTGGAAGTAAAGCTTCTAAAGACCTTCTTGTACCTTTTTTATTGAATGATTTGAATCTATCGCTAAACACTGATATACAACCCCATAATACAACCCCGATTTTAAACTTTGGCAGACTTTTGGCTTTGCTATTTAGATAGCAAGAACATCTTTGGTCATACACCACAAACAAATGCTTTGATGCAGACTGCAGTCTATTTGGCAGAAAAGTGTATATTTCAATACTGTCCTTGTTATCTTCATTCTCATCGTCACTGATAGTGATCTTAAGCTTCAATGTTTCGTCCGGTAGATAAATGTCCTCCGTGTGAATGATGAAGCAGAAAATGAAGGCCAATGGTGGAGAAGGAACAGAAGAGAGATCAATAATTATATAATCCTCCTCTGTTGTTGTCTTATACTCCAACCAATCTGGAATACTGGTTCCTGGATACACGTACACTGCTTGATAAAGAACATAGTTGTTGTCATAATCGCCATAATTTTCAATGTGATCATTTTTTAAGAAAGGTAAATGTTGGTATGCAAATTTCATCAAGTTGATTTGTGCGTTTAACCCAATAGCCATGAGAGATTGTTCATCCAATTCCATGCAATTGTTTAACAGAAAACTTTTCCTGTTTTCCTTCAACTGTTCAACTGCTGAAGGGAACAATACAGTCTTCAGTGATCTGCAATTACAAGCATACATAATATCAAGGGATGTGGGAAGCTCTGGTAGAATCTGAAGCTCTGAACAACTACGTGCGTCGAGATATTTCAATCTTGTAAGATTCTTGATGCTTGAAGGCAAGCTCTCAATGGCAATACCTTCGATAACTAGGATTTCAAGCTTGCTTTGACGTCCAAAAGATGTGGGCAATGCATTGATGCAAGTCCCTGCTAAATCTAGAGAAATCAAATTCTCTGATCTCACTGAGAATTCACGTAGGCTTTCGCAGAAGCGAAGCTGGAGATCTCTGAGAGAGCTTAAATGGGTATGGCTTGAAAGTCTGGTAAGGGAAGTACATGTTACTATTTGCAATTTCTGAAGCTTGTCGAGAGAGAAAATGGATTCATGCACACTAGTCAGCTGAGAACAATAACTGATTTCCAATTCTTCAAGATTTTTAGCCTTTGAAAAGTCTGGCAGCTCTTGCAGGAAATTGCAATTACGGAGTTTAACTTCTTTTAAATTCACCAGATTCTGCAACAAAATAAAACTAGTGAAGACATTACACACTTTGCATTATTTGAATTAAGAGAATGTAAAATAGGAGGATGCTTAAATATACTTTCACTCCATTCCAAATTTTTTCTACTCTGCTACATGCCAAGTCTAATATAACAAGTTTCTCAGCAGAAAATTGCTCTGGCAAGGATTTCAAAGGATAACAATGCCAACGAAGATATCTTAGTTCATTTGGCAATGACTCAAGTCCATGTGGAAGAAGATCCAAGTACGCATCAGAGTTTTCATTAGGATAAATAACGTAGGAATCGGCATGAAAATCTAAAAATTGTAGTTTGCTCATCTTAGCAAAAACGAAAGGGCTCAATTTCAGATTCTTCAATGTTGATAGCTTTGTGGTTATGCTTCGAATGGCCTCAGTCCCCTGCCATCAAAGTAGAAAAATATGTTTAAACATAATTTAAAGCCACATTTCTCACAAAAATAAAAAATATCATAAAAAAGATATTTTATTTTATTAGGATTTTACCTTGTTATTTTTCAAGACATAACAAATGTCATCAGGAGCCCATAATCGACTGCAATGTCCATGGTCATTCCTAGATTCATGACGAGCAATCTCCCATGCCATTTCTTGTATAATGTTATGGATAGATATAACATTATGAACAGAAATATCAATATGATCTTTTAACAAAATATGCAGTGAATATTCAGTTGCGTAAATTCTATCATTGATAGATATAAGAGCTTTATCTTTGAGTGCTTCTAACACAATGGCCACTGAATTATCACTTTCTTGATCTTTCAATAATCTTTTTACAAACTGCACTTCCAAGTTTACTTCAGTAAAGAAACATGCAAGATCTAAAAGAATCTTTTGTTCTTCACGATCTAGATCATCATAACTCAATCTCATTACATCATGAACCTTTTTACATGGAATTCTTCTAAGTTTGTCCAGCTGACTTTCCCATATAGTCTTATCTTTCCCACGAAGAAGATGAGCCAAAACTTTCAGAACTAATGGGACGCCTTTGGCATAATCGACCACCTTCTCTGCTAGCACATAATACTCCTTTTCAAGATGATTTTGGTTAAAGGCTTTCAACTTGAAAAGATCAAGTGCATCATTTCTGTTCAATACCTTAACCTTGTATATACCATCAACATTGTTAGAGATTAACACTTGCTTATCCCTAGTTGTTACAATGACTCTACTGCCTAATCCAAACTGATCAGGACTTCCAATTATTTTTTCTAGTTGATCTGAATCATTCAAATCATCAAGAACAATAAGAACCTTCTTACGACTAATCCTTCTCTCAATATAATTGGTCAATCCATTTGGTGTGTTAATTTTCACATCTTCTGCTAATAGTTTAGAGAAAAGCTTTTCCTTTAAAGAAATTATTCCATGTCTTTCTGATTCTTCTCTTACATTTGGCAAAAAGAAACAATCTTCGTATTTAGAGCATATTTTGTTGTAAACTTCTGCTGCAATGGTAGTTTTACCAATACCACCCATACCCCAAATTCCAATAACTCGGACATCTTTTGACTCTTGACATAACAATTCTATATCTGCAATTGTTTTGTCAATTCCAATAAGCCCTTTGGAGTTAACTGGGTGCTTTCCCATCCTTATCAACTGAAGATCAACAGTTTTGACAATTTCTTCAAGCAGGTCGGCTTCATCCCTATATAACAAAAAGAGAGACAGTGTATAAAATTATACGGCATTACTATCAGCTCACTTGGTTGAATGTTTGTTGTGGGGTTTCAATACCATGATCAAATACCCGTTCCCTTTTACCTTACTCCTTTCTTAGAAGTCCCTAATAAGGTCAAATACCAAAAGAAATGGGCAATGTTGAATGTATGAAGGGGTGTTTGAAAAATGCAACATTTCTATGTATAATTTGAAAATTGAATTACATATTAATTGTAATACTCAAGTATAATACGGGCCAATGAAGCATGGTTTCCTAAATCTAAATCCTTGTTGTGGGATTGATTAGTATTTGCAAAAGCACTAATTAATAAGAATACGAATATGGTTGAATAAATTTCTGCATAAATACTTAGAAGAGAAGTAAATAAAGAAGAAAAATGAAATTAATTTTTCTATAAGTTAAAATTAACTTATACATAGACTAAAAAAATGTTTTTGGATAGTCAAATATGAGAGCTTCTAGTAACTAACTAGTGAATAAATTAATTTTATTTTATGGAGAAGTTATTTCATTTTTTCTTTCTATTTTCTTTCCCT